CCAGGGGCGTTTCTGCAAACACCCATGCCGGAGGGAGAAGATGTTTACATCCGACTTGACGGCACCATGGCTGAGCTGCTTTGTCGCGTGGATCCAAGGATGTATCGGAAGTATCTAGTGAATAAGAATGGCAAAAAGACCCTGTTCACCAGAGCTGAGAAGGCAATATATGGAACACTGAGAGCCGCACTACTGTTCTGGGAGAAGCTGTATGGACAGCTTGAGGAGTGGGGGTTTGAGTTGAACCCATATGACCCATGCACGGTAAACAAGATGATAAATGGCAAGCAGTGTACCATAGTATGGCATGTCGATGACTTGAAGATATCCCACAGTGATCCTGATGTAGTAACGGAGGTAATACAGCAGCTGAATAGTGAATTTGGGAAGGAATCACCACTGACTGAGACTCGTGGTAAAATACACGACTATGTGGGGATGACCATCGATTACAGTGAAGTTGGGAGGGTGAAGTTCAGTATGTTTGACTATCTGGAGGAGATCATACAGAACCTGCCAGATAGCATGCAGGGCAGTGCTGCCACACCCGCAGGCGATCATCTGTTCAAGGTCAATGAGGAGGCAGTCAAACTGAGCAAGGAAAGGGCCGACAAATTCCATCATTACGTGGCCAAGCTGCTGTTCATGGCAAAGAGGGCACGGCCCGACATACAGACAGCAGTGGCTTTCCTATGTACCCGGGTATCAGCGCCAGATGAGGATGATTGGAAGAAGCTCGGGCGAGTGATGAAATACCTATCAGCAACACCGTACATCCCACTCGTGTTGGGCTGGGATGGGAGCGGCCACGTATACTGGCATGTGGACGCTGCATTCGCTGTTCACAATGATATGAGGAGTCATTCTGGAGGAGTGATGACTTTTGGTAATGGAGCCGCCATCACAACCTGCACCAAACAGAAGCTGAACACCAAGAGTTCCACGGAGGCAGAGGTAGTGGGTGTCGACGATAACATGACTTTTATCCTGTGGGCTCGATACTTCCTGGAGGCACAGAAACAGCACGTGACCGACAACATCGACGACGGCGATAACAGGGCGGGACAGTCGAGCTTGGGGGACACACACGTGATCTATCAAGACAATGAGAGTGCCATCAAGCTCGAGCGCAATGGCCATCGATCCAGTACCAAAAGGACTAAGCACATCAACATCCGGTATTTCTTCATAACTGACCGAATCAAAAAAGGGGAGGTGACCGTGGAATACTGCCCTACCGACGACATCATTGCCGACTACTTCACCAAGCCACTGCAAGGGAGCAAGTTCCGTAAGTTCCGGAATATCATCCAAGGGATCAGCAATGAAGACTGTGTGAAATACAAGCAAGCTTATTTTGCTGCAAAGCAAGCGAGAGCTGCGAGTAACTGTACCCAATGAAGGCGTTGCGACTCTACGCAGTAGGATTCCACACAGCAAGCCGTAGGAGAAGCCTACCCGCATAAAACCGCAAAGAGGAGTGTGTTGAGGGACAGACGTTCGCGCGCGCATCCACCAATGGTCGGATGTACGAAATAAATACAAATGGAGTAAAACTCCACATGCATGATGTGAGGAAATGTCAGAATCCCAAGAGGTTCTGAGTTATCCTCATACTTTTCTAATTTATCTAGTCAATAGGATTATTTGTTCTTTAAGGCTTCGTACATTGAGTATCGAATCAACATAAACTTCTTTTATTATGCCTCCGAACATTTTTCAATTCTTCGTTTGAGTAATATTTTGATCTCGCTATTAGTATCGATTCCCACACGATGTTGTAACAGTGGTAAAGAGGTATAATCCTTCAATGTCGACACTAACCTATATTAATTATACTTACAAAGGTTCTTATACCTCAACGATTTGAAGGAACACTTCTTCTTATACCTCAACGATCTGAAAGAACACTTCTTATACCTCAACAATTTCATCAAACACTGGGACACTTATTGTTTTACTAATCAACAGAATTCTTCTTCTCAATGTTTCATCCAAATGCTGCATAGTGCGCAAGACTCAAATGAAGAATATATATCAAAAGTTGAAACAGGACTGTGGAATGACCCTATAAGTCATCTCCAGGTACACATTTAAGAAAAATCAAACCGATAATTTATCAATATTTTGAAATACACGTCAACGCATGAAAGTCGTCATCGGCGAAGTGAACGAAGAAAAATCACTTATGGCTATCTGTGCGACTAAAATTATATATATGCAGGATTTCAAAAGACATCGGATCTCGACAGTCAATCACAGAAGCGTTTCCATAGCAACATAAAAAGTTAAATATATTTAAGAATGTGTTGTACCCAAGGGAAGTGAAATGCAGCATTTTTTCGGTTGGAGCATAAATAAAAATTTAGCATACACACATGATGTGTTTTCGGCGAAGACGTTGATCCACAGAAAACACTTAAGCTACAAATTCCGATACGTTGTAAGAAGAAGAACTACAAGAAGAATGCAAACCGAAACTGCCACCTAACCAGATGCCGCTGACAAGCCTAGAGGAAAGTTCGTCTTTGCTTGACGTCGGTTGACATGGGTTAAGAACAAAAAGCCTCTCCTCAACTTTTTTATCAGTACTTTTCAATAGCGTCTGGCTTTAGCGTCGGCTTAGCTCTAGAAACGCGTTCTACAATTGCGGAAATAGCGTCTCGGTATTGTGAGAAAGCACGAAAGAAGAGTCAGCTTCGACTCCCACGGCGATGATTATATCGAAAATATAGGTAAGCCTAGTTCCGTAGAACCCGATGACCTATCATTTCAAACCATGCTTTGCAAAATCATCGAACTGGTACCTGGGTTATGTAGGCAGGCCGAACCAAGTTTTCGATCCTCGTCGCAACTTGTCGCGAGGTCGAACATGGAATTCCGAAACTTAGCAACGTAGTAATTAGCATAGAATACCTTGCCCACCGAATAGACTATTTGAATGTAGCATGATGGAATCACCGTCGTTTGTAAAATCTGTAGAACTTCAACCACTGGAGGATCTTGTGTCGTTTGGAACAGCCAAGCACGTCTAGTCTATCAATTCTTGTAGAAAAGGATCATTCGCATTTGGATGGAATATAATAGTATTACAGTTGTTATTGCTTATGAGTTATGCGGCCATCGGTATCAGCGGAGCAGCGCCCGGGGATGTATCCGGAGCGCCCATTCGTCGGATCGAGGCCGGGGTTTTCTTTTTAGCAGCGGGCGGCGTGGACTTGCTGTCGGTGGGGCATCTTGTTTGCTCGAACGGTTCGTTCTCGTACGAGGCAGCTTGGGCGTCGAGTCTTCCCGCACAGCGTGCCGCATCGATAGTGGGGCGGCAGTGCTTCTTGTAGACCTCACGGATGGCCTTGTCGTCGTAGACCAAATAAGTCAGTTGTTGTTCTTCGGCCTTGTCGACCTGCAGGTCTTGTTCGTCCAGGACGGACCAGATGGCGTCCTGGCGGCGACGACGGATCGATTCTTTGATGCCTCCGGTGCTCGTGTATTTTTCGAGGCCCCGGTACGTCGATTCTGGTCCCTCTCGAAAAAGATCCATCTTGGCGAGGTCAAGGTTTTTTAGCACGCTCTTTCGGATGGTGGTGTATTCGTCTGCTTGGAACCAGCTGTCGCAGATTTCTTCTTCGGTGAAGTTGTTCTTGTGAAGGACTTGTCGCACAGTGACTTCCTTGAAGAAACTGACTGATTTTCCTTTCCGAGAAGCGCTGCTGCTCTTTTTCGTCTTTCTTTTCTCAGATGTTGTCTTCGGGGACGCCGGTTGTTCGTTTTGCATACCCTTGTGAAGTTTGTCTACAATGTCCATGTTGCCGAACACTGTTGTCGGTGATCCAGCCGAAGACCGCGGTCGTCGACGGCTGCTCTTGGATTTCTTGTCTTGGTTGATACACATAATTTGGTTTTGTAGTGTGGTTTGCACGTGTTTGTAAGAATCCAACGCTTGAAATTGTGTGCCTTGATTTTCGCCTGTCGAAACGCAGTTTTTGAGTTCGCAAGAAAAATGAAAGTATTACAATGCGAATACAAAAACCTGCGTACGCTACCGTACTGTCCCCACGGTTAGAGTAACTTTTTACCGACCGTCGATAACGCCGATGACCCGGTACCAGTGAGTGAATTTTTTTGGGAGGTCCTACAAAAAAGAACCGAGAGAAATATCATCCGCAAAGCCGAGACCTATCATCCATAGAAATTGCACAGAGGCAAAACCTTGGGCCTCTTTTGGAATCCAGTTCTTAAGGCTCTGATTGCATACGGTACCAAACAATAGCGGTGGCTACCGGGATCCAAGTAACCAATGGGAAGTTCGCATTTTCCCACTGTACGTTTGAAAAATGAAGAATATTCTCACTTATGCCTCAAAAAGTAATTATACAGAAATGTCATAGTACCACTCTATCGTGGAATCGTCGTAGATCTTACCATCACGGTCATTGATAGGGTAACACTTTGTAAGCCTTTTGCATTTTTGTTTATTGAACCTGTCGAAAATGTATTATGGCTCGTACAGTTCCTGACATAAAAATGTAGTCTTATACGTGATATTTTGAGTGACTCTTTAGGCGATTTTAGAACCAGGGGTTCGTTAATCAACAATAGATAGCAGTGTACTTTATCAATGAGAATACAGTGCCCTAAGACACCGATGCTGTGCTATTTTCAATGCTTTAAGAAATGGAGTCGATCCTCTATTGATACTTGACAATCATTTAAGTAATCGAGTCTTATTACAATATGCCATTGAGATCGTCGCAAAAAAAGTCATGCTTATAAGTCTTGGGAAGCAGAGTCATTGTCTTATACCATCGATCTTATGTACGGGTCTGAACAATCCGAACCATGGCCATTCTACAGAAACCTATGTTTATCAACCGACGATTCAATCCCAGGCGGACAATGGTCTATGTTGATCAATCACAACGGTTTAGTAGCTTTCCTGGTAGAAATATTACCTAAGAGTTGCACCAGAAGTTGGTATTGTGTTGCTCAATTCTGGTTCCCGGGTTCAGTTCTAGATATTTCTATTGCCCAAAAATCGGTGTCGTCGCCAAGATTGGATAGTGTAGTAGTAGTAGCAAGCTTCATATAGCGATTCGTGTTTGATTTCGGTAGATCTAGTCTCTGCTTTACCGCCGTACCAATACAGAAATCATCATGACAACTATGGCATACCATAATTGGGTGTGATTCGTGTTGTGTTCACAAAAATGATAAAAACACTTTTCATCGAGAGTATCTCACTCTCAATCTGTTTTTGAGAAAGAGGTTTCAATAAGTAATCGTATTAGTGTAAAAGATTTATACACACCGGAAGGCTTACCGATTCTGAGTGTGATTGACTTATCGTCCGCGGAAAAGATAAAAATACTTTTTTACTGCAAAATCCTTTTAGGGTTTGTTTTTGGAACTGAGTTTTCGATAAGTACCCTCATTACCGACTTAGTGCTCGACAGTGGTTTAGGAATATTGCCCCTGAAATTCGACGATGTGGTCCCGACAGCGGTCGTCGGGCTCGTGGGATGGCATCGTCGGGTTCCTAAAATTTGAGGTCGTCGCATCTGTAATATGCTCGTTTGGGGTCGTCAGAATTCTGATTTCCGTACCGTGGATCATACGTACCAGTCGCATCTGAACTATCGCCTTTTATTGTATTAGCGGAGAGTTGAAACGGGAGTGAAGCTCTACTTATGTGCCTCGTCTTTGCAAAAAACCGGTTTTGTATATGTATTTTCAAGAAGACCGTTTTCTTGCAGATTTTGTTGCCTTAAGTAACCGCCTCCCAAATCCCATGATCTCCGATGAAACCATAGTGGTAGACATCTTGATCTCCTTTGAAACCTATACCGGTAGTAGCACGTCCGTTATTTTCTCCTATGCCCTGGAGTGTGTTACTATAGCAGTGTTCGGTACGTGTTCCGGTGCCGTTGCGTGCATGGATCACGCATGCCGTATTGATGTACGGTACCATTCGGTACTTACTAGCATACGTACTGGTCATCCTTTAAATTACTTCGAAGTAAGAATTACTTTGTACGAAGTAAGTAAGAAGTACGGTACCGTACCGTACTTTTTTGAAATGACCCCCCTTCCAACGCAAACGGGTACTGTCCAACAAGGTACGAACGGTATCGTACGTACCGTACTCCTCATGATTATCTAGGATACGTATGTACCGTGGGACCACGGAGGACGACGAACGGACTGCACGTGCACGTACTTGGATTCGATCGTGCGGGACTTGCCGGTTCCCATTTCTCTCGAACCCGGGCTTCTCGATTGTCTCGACGGGACGCATCGACATCGCCGCGGCTGTCAAGGGGGGTATCGTTGCAGGGGTCCCCTGTATCGTTGTACCGTACTTACCATGTCGAACGGTATCGTACGGTACGTACGTACGGCGTGACACCGCGAAGACAAGCTTCCCTCGGCAAAGCAAGAAGCCTGCCCGGGTTCTGTGTCGTGTGTGTGTGTGCTTGTGTCTGTTGGTCGCACATCAATCGGGGTTGTTCGCTGTTTGGTGGATGCAGAGCGAGCAGGTACGATGCGATACGGTACGGTACGGTACGATACGGTGCATACTCCCAGAGAGAGTCTTGTCTTGGAAGGCCGCGAGCCGCGTGGATCGGCCCGGACATGCATGACAGACACCCCACTCCGCGCCGTGCTTGCTTGCTTGCTTGGATTCGATGCGGTGCGGTGCTTCTCTCAAAAAATCGATCTTGATTGATTTCCTTCTTTGCGAACGGCCGGACCGGCAGAATCAATTGTGTGAGTACGAAGTAGAAGTACCGTAGTACTGTATGTTGGTTCATACATTACATTACAGTAGCGCTACAGAATATCGAATTCGGTATTAGTCGTAGCATCGTAACAGCCGTAGCAGCGGTAGCGCGGCACCGCCTTCGTTCGGTTTCTTTTTTCCGTGGAGTTTCGCGTGGAGAACCATCGGTCGGTTCCTCCCGAGAGACACCACCTGCCGTGACACGATCGACGAGAACCAGACCCAACCAAAACAAACCAAACCAGACCAAACCAGACCCTTGCGGAACACCCCGCTGCCGTTGCAAAGGCAACGAAAGCTCTTTGCCACAAGCCACAAGGACACCGCTGTTCCATTCGAAACAAACAAGCATCGCTTGCACACGCACCGCATCCATCCGAGAGAGCGGAGGCTGCTGCCAGGAAACAAAACAATCGGCGCAAGATACGGTGCCGAACAGAACAGAACAGAACACAACAGAACAGAAGAAAATCCAACAGACTCCGTACTTCGAATTCGATTCCTTCGGGCACGGCTCTCCAAAAGCATCCAAACTCGGAAGAGCCTGTTCTGTTCTGTTCTGTTCTGTTCGATTCTGTTCGATTCTGTTCTGTTCTCCTCGAAACCGCAAAGAACGAACCACGGTTGCGGCACGGTTTGATACGGGGTGCTTTTTTCGCAACCCAAAAGACTTGCCGGCAAAGGCTAGCCTCTACAGCAGCAGCAGCAGCAGCAGCAGCAAGACCCTGCCATGGGCCAGGGCTGCAGCACGCGGGGCCACGCGGTGGAAGCGGGGCCGGGAAGCCGCCCCGACCCCAGAGCCCTCGATCCGGTCATGAGGGAGATCATGGAGCGTTCCGTTTCCGCCACGAGCCGGCTCCGGAGGAAGGCCCACTCTGAGCGGAGGAACACGGCCCGGAGGGAACAAGCACCGCCCCTGTCGGTTCGCGGGCCCGGGCTCTTTGCTTGGAAGGGCGGGCAGAACCACCTGCTCTACAAGAACTTTTCGTCGAAGGCCGGGAGCGGGCCGACGAAGAAACAAAAACCATCCGGACGGAATTTCTCGACCACCATTAGCAGCAGCAGCAACAGCAGCAACAGCAACAGCAACAGCAAGCACCCGGGGAGGCAGCCGGCCTTTCGGAGGAGGACCAGGATCGCCGAGGGCTTTGAGGCGGAACGCGAGGAGCAAGAGAAGCAGCAGCAACGGAAGCGATCGGATCCCAACGGCGGCGATCGCGATCGCGATTGCGGGCATGGCGAATGCGACGACGAATGCGACGACGACTACGACGATGGCTGCTACGGAGACGAGAGCCTGTACTCGCACTTTTATGCGGCAAGCGGGGACCGAATCGAAAAGGAAAGCGCCACAGCCGGCCACCCCCCAGGGATTTTGCTCGAGGACCTGGAGCGCCTGGAGAAGGGCGTCGCGAGGACCATTCTGTCGGAGTGCCCCACGCGGCTCGTGGTCCGCGAGAGGGAGGGGGGGCACCACGCCCGCAGGGGCCTCTCCTGGAGGACCGGCCGGGGAGGGACCCGCAGGGATTCTTCCACCGGAAGGGGCACCGGGAGCCCCCCCGTGGTGATCCTGCCCGAGGGTCACTGCTACGAGCGCGACAGGGACTATTTCCGCCGGGGGAGGCCCCTGGGGGACCGGAAGGAGGGCGAGGACCAGGAGGATGACGAAGACGAGGACGATGCCAGCTGCAGCAGCAGCAGCGACAGCGACAGCAGTTGCAGCGACGGCAAGGGCGTCCACCGGCTGCACCGGGCCACCACGTCCGCCGGCCACAAACCTCGAAGAGAATCGATCCACGTCTACGCCGTTCGGTTTCCGAGGGAGGCCGGAGACAAGGATTGCAAATGCGAAGGTGGCGAAGGCGATGGCGAAGGCGATGGTTCTGCCGTTTCCGGTGACCGAGCGGGCGGAGGACAAGGGGAGAAAGGTAGCGCGGAGCGGGGACGGGAGCAGCGGCCCCTCCCGCGGAACCGCCACCCGCAACAACAACCGCAGCAGCAGCAGCAGCAGCAGATCGAAAAACAACCGCAACCGCAACCGCAGCAACCACAATCCCCCACCACCGAGGAGCCCCGCGGCAGTCCCACCACTCCGAGCATCCAGGCCGGGGCAGCAGCAACCGGCACGGACCCCACGGACCCCGGCAAAACCACCGCCGGTCCGGCTGCGGGCACGGGTGCGAAAGAGGATGCGAAAGAGGATGCGGGTGCGAATGCGGGTACGGATGCAAATGCAAATGCAAATGCAAACGCAAATGCCGGCACGAATGCCGTTGGACAGATGTTTTCGCCGTCCCGCATGGGGGAGCCGCCGAAGCGCGAGGGTACGTAGGGTGCTTGCGGGAGCGAAGCGAAGCGATGCCCCGGGGTCTCGTCTTGCGTCCTTGCGTCCTTGCGTCCTTGCGTTTGCCGATGCGTGTTTCTTTGCGCTTGCTGGAACTCCACGTGGGTTCTCGACCCATCCGTGCACCACACTCTTCACTCATTTGCTTGTGTTTTTGTTTTTGTTTTTCTTTCTGTTTCTGTTTCCCATCAAACCAACGAAATCCATTTTTTGGTGTCGTCCGTCCCATTCCGTGTCCATCCCCGCGATTGTTTGCTTGTTTGCTTTGTTTCGCGTTGCATTCCTGCCGATGGCCCGAATATTCACCGGAAAACCAACAACCTTCCTCCGGACACAAACGTACTCGACACAAACCACGCACCGTCGTTGCACAGTCCTCGACTGGGTCACGATATCGGAAGAGCACGGGATCTACGTGGCGGACCTGGGCATGAGCCCGGCGCAGTGCGACGCGCTGGTGACGACCACGGAGCAGGCCTGCAAGGGGCACTACGCGGCCTATACCTACGCAAAGCAGACGCTGGGCTGCCGGGAGTACCCCGCGCTGGCGAGGGCCGTCGTGTCGCCCGTCCATTCCATGGTCTACGCCATTACGCAGCGCTTTCGGGGGGAGGGCGGGCCCCCCGGAGAAGAAAACGACCGAGAAGAGGCTGCGGAAGCAAAGGACGGCGGCGATGGAAGACCGCCCAATGGTGGCACCACCGGGGGGGACGCTCCCGCCGGTGCCCTTGATTCTGCCGAGCCGTCTCTTTCCCGGCCAGGAGACGGGGAACCCCGGCCGCCGGCAAGGGTCCTCCAGCTGGACGAGCGCGAGCCCCACATTGTCAAGTACGACGTGACGAAAAAGGAACGCCAGAAACTGGACATGCACACGGACAAGTCGGAGTTTACCTTTCTGATTGCCCTCTCGAACGGCTGCGGGATGGACTACGACGGCGGCGGGACCTACTTTGAGTGCCTCGACGCGACGGTCCACATCCAGCGGGGGCACGCCCTGGTCTTTCCCGGAAAGCTCCGCCACCGCGGGACCAAGATCACCCGCGGCCTCCGCTTTTTGCTGGTGGGGTTTCTGGTGGACAAGCCGCTCCCCTTGCAAGCATCCGATGCGCCGGCGGAGGAGAAGACGAAGACGGAACACAAGCCCGAGCGAAGGGATGCCGGCGGGGACGCTTTCCCGGCCGAAGGTGGTTCTCCGGCAAGGACGGTTTCCCAACCGGCAAAGCAGGTCCTTCCCGCCGTGGATTGGTGCTAGCCGTTCGTTTTGTACTTGCAGTATCTGGTTTCGATTCGATTCGATTCGCGTGGTGGCTGGCCACCGGCCGGCACCGGTTTTTATGGTCCGCCGAGAACAGAACCGAACGCCGGCGCTTGCAACGCCACACACACACACACACGCGATTGTATGTTATATTCTATTCTATGTTGCGACAAATCCCTATGGCACGGCGAGAACGGAACGACACGACCCGTGCATGGTTCGCGATGCGATCGAAACGCAGCCCGCGTCGATGGCAAGCCAATAACTACTAGTAACACTGCTTTTTATAACTCTCGCGACCCATTCGAAACGAAACGAAACGCATCCGACCTGCCACGGCGGCAGACCGGTGTTTGGCACGCAAGCCGAGCAAAAAACGGAATTATCCCTAGTGGTTACAGTACGTACGTACTCGCTATAGACCGACCGGACCGAGCGCCACAAGCGTGTTGTTTCGGACGGAAGGAACCCATTCGTCGTCTCCACGCTGCGGAAGGTTCTCCGAACAAAAGACGGTGCCCACAACAGCAATCTTCGATCGATGCCATCCCGATGGCTTGCCCGCTTGCTTCGTTCGTTCGTTCGTTCGTTCGTCTTTGTTCGCCCAACGGCACCACCGAAAAAGCCCACCGCCGCCTATTCCGCCTTGCGCAGCAGCATCTTGGACCGGTTGCTATAGACGTCAAAGTCCCGCGTCCGGTGGGCCGGCGCCACGAGCGGCCTGCGCCTCCCGCCCGCGCTCAGCTCGATGGGCTGCAGGGGGCCCATGCCCAGGAGCTCCCCGGCCAGCAGCAGGCAGAGCGCCAGGGCCAGCTCGAAAACGACGTCGGGGGGCGGGATCATCGCCGCCGCCGCCGCGCCCGCCACCGCAGAAGCCTCCTCCGTTTTTTGGTCCGGGGGGGCAGCGGCGCCGGCGCCGGCCAGGAGGTCCAGGTCCTGGAGGAGGGATCGAAAGTGCATGCAGCTGTAGGCGGCGTGGACCACCAGCAGGGCCCCGGCTCCCCTCAGGAACGCGGCGGTGGATGGCATCGTTCGTTCGTTCGTCGTTCGCCGTAGATTTGCTTGGTTCTTTGTTTGATTGATTCTTTCTTTGTTTGATTGATTCTTTCTTTGTTTCGCTCGTTCGTTCACTCGTTCTGTCTCGCCTCTCGGGGTCCGGCAAAACTCTGTCCTTGGCGAGGCGTGCTACACTAGGGTGCAATGCAATGGCACGGGGCTTGCAATCGAAGAGCCGATCGGTGGTGCGGTCGGAAACTACGTACCGATACGTGGTCCGACGGGTTGCGTTGGGTTGGGTTGGATTGTGTCTCTGCTCTTGCCCGGAAACGGAGGGATGGCAAACCATGGCAATAGACGGTTGCCTACCGGTACTGTATCGTACGGTACGGTTCGTACCGCATGCCTGTAATTCATTCCTGCGCCGACTGCTTTTGGCCGGGCCTGCGAATCGGGATTGGGGGCCGCTGTGAACTGCGTACGTACGGAACCCACGCTAGCATATTGTGGGTTTCCTCCTTTATAATCCACAATTCGGGGGCCCGATTTCATGGGTCATTTCGTGATGACAGTACATTTTTGGACAAGACACTTCTAAAAATTGGGCTTTTGGATGACATAACAAAGAACCTACTTCCTCCGTCTGACAATGACCGTCTCATGCCTATTGTACAAAGAAACCACTAAAACTATAGTCTCATAAAAGAATGTGGTGGTGGTGCTTAGAACAAGTAAAGAAGGTGAAGAAGAACTCTACTAGGAGTTCTAGTACTAGCAGAACTTCTTCTACTAGTAGTAAAAGTAGCAAGAAGAAGAAATAACAAGCTTTTACTCGTTCAACAGTACTAGTATTTAGGAAGCAAGAACAACAACAACATCTTTCTTTCTCCTTGTTTAAAGAAGAAAATGAGGACTCTAAACTTTTGGGAAATCTAGTACTACTTTTACTTGCCTTCTTGAAAGCAAAATAAAATAGTAGGACAATGAGGAAGAATGAGATCAGCAATAGTAGGAAGAAGAACAACACTTGTAGAGAGCACAACAACCCATTGTTGTACTTTATTTGCTTGTGTTCCAAAGTAGGTCCTATTTATACTTCTGCTGACAATTGTTACTACCTAACATCATAATTGTCGAGTGAAAAACTACTATGGGTGGTGATTGCTGTTCAGTAGATGTATACCAACAATGAAATCTCAATGTATTTACTAGTAATGCTAGTACTACCTTCTTCAACAAAGTGCAGTGCAGTACTACTGGTAGTAGTACTATTATCCCTGAAACCTTCTACTTGCAGTACCTCAATTTTTAAACTAAATTGGACTGGAATTCTGTAATCAAAAATTGGCACACTCTCTATCTGGGTCTTCTTCTTGTTGGGATTTCTTCTTGATTCAAAACTTATTATCCTAAAGTTCAAAGGCAGCTCCAGTAAAAAAGAAGAATCAATCATGGTGCTATCACGGCAGGTCCTGGGGCAGTTAGCTGAAGGTGCAAATCCAAATTTCCATTGGGCCCAAACACAAGTAGTACACTGTCGGTGTACTAAGTGTCTGCTACCCACCAATTGTAGTACCACTTTTATGTCACCCAGGTAGTTGGTAGACACAAAAAACGACAAGCTCGTTATGCACGCTTGTAATATCATAGGATTTCTGGATCTACGAAGAAAAAAATCACCTTTGATTACCTGCTGCAATTTACGGAAAAGACTACTACCGTTCGAACAGCCCGAAGGTGAGCTCTAATGATGGCGAACACAGATTGTTTAGAAAAAGCGGTTCAGATCCCACTGTTTTGTGTCACGATGAGCTTGAAGCAAACTCCTCTCGCTTAACGTTCGTGTTTTTCCTTGAGTTTCTTAAACGGTAATCTACCCGGACCAATCGGTTTCTTGAGGGCCGCAAAGAGATTTGCGAGACTTTTGTTGTAGTCTCTGGCAAGCGAACCATTGCCACCCTTCATTGCGACTAATCCCTTAGTTTTCGCTGCTTTGAATGACAGACAGTACGCTTCGGGCAGAATTGAGAAGCCATCGTCTACATCGCTCCCGAACCAGAAGACGATTTGGGGGATGTCATCTTCGATAGCCCGATTGTTGAAAGTTCGCAACCATTGCTTGCGAATCGCCCCTGGAGAAATGTCGTAAGGCCCAAGAAATAGGACTGGAAGGTATCTCTGCTCCCATTGGGCAAATCCAACCTTGAAGAAACGCTTCTTAACGCGCTCTGGAAGTTGTCTCTCTATCTTTTCTTTTTGAGCCATGAAATCTTTCTTGAGTTTCTTCAGTTTTTCCTCTCGTTTCGAATCGTTGACGGTGTTTTTTTCTTCGCCATGCGAATCCCTGCAATGACTGTTTTGATTAAGATCTTTGTTACTTTCGTTCGTAAACGTTTGCTCCGTCGCTCGAATTTCGTTGCACACGGCCATGCTCTTCTTCATTTTTTTGTAATCAAACTCTTCGACATCGCCATCATCAAACAGTACGGTCCATGCACGCTTTTTCTCAGGTTTATCGCTTGCCTTGCATGCCTTGATGGCTCCAAAGTGCACGCCATTCCCAAACATATACGCAATTCGATCTCCCACGCAAAGATTCCCCACGTTGTATTTCCAATTATTTACTTCTTTCTCCAAGATCCTCTTGTGCAAAGCAATGCTTTTACGCATGTCGTTGACATCAAATTCGTACACCTCGCCATCATCAAAGAGAACTTGCCATCTCCATTTCGACCTACAACCGTGATTTGTGTCACATTCTTTGATCTCACCAAAATACACACCGTTTGAAAACTCAAAAGCGATTCGATCCCCGGCCGTTACAGTGGAAATAGACTTTCCTGGTTTCGCCGTCGTGGATTTTCGATATGAGTCTGCCTGAGAAACAGCGCTACTAGTACTACGAGTTGAAGGCAATGGCTTGTTCTCCGGTCTCGAAGCCTTGTTTTGGGTCTGCTTTCGAGCCGAACCCTCCTCAATACTGGCATTTGTAGCGGACATTGATCGCGTATCCTTCTGTCTTGAATTGCCAATTTGGTTCTGTTCCTGCGAAGAGTCGTCCTCTGTAGCACCGACAATGGCGGTTCCAGAGATAGAATGCGGCTTCTTTTCAATTTGTACTGCATTCCCTTTTTGCGCGTGCTCTCGAGACGGGCCCGCTATAGAACCAATATTGGAGGTTGCAGCAGAAGTAACTTGCTTGTCGTTTTGTGTTGAGAGAGGAGAGCCTTTTCTTGGAGTACCAATAATGGCTGTTCCAGCCGAAGATACTGTCTTGTTTTTCTTTTCTTTTGTAGATGACACGATCTTTTCTGTTGGTTTTATATTCTCAATTCGATTCTGCTTTCGAGATAAGCCAGTCACTACTGTACCAACGCTTGTAATTAAGGGGGAATTCAATATCTTGTTTTCTTTTTGTTTTGAATTCTCTCTTTGGGTCTTTTTGCGAGATGAGTCAACTCCTGCGATGCTGGTGGTTTCAACTGAAGTCAATATCTTGTTGTGCTTGCGATTTTTGTTCTGTGTCTTTCCTTTCGCAATGTCGTTCAATTGGACAATACCGTCCGTTCCAACATCTGTTCGTAGTATCTCATCACGGCCCTTTGTTACATCTCTTTCTGTTTCAGATTTACAATAGCGCATCTTACCGACTTTTTCGTATTTGACCAGATTTTGCCGAAGGGTTTCTATGCTCTGGCGTGCGCCTTCGCAATGATTGGGTGTATTTGATTTCATTAAACGAAGCTCTTCTGGTGTGGGGAAATTCAAAAATTGCAGATCTTTAACTCCACCGTACTGTCGCAATGCCGCATCGACAGCCCTTGCGGCCTCTTCCCGGCTTTTGAATCGACCTATGACGGCACTTCCGAGCCCTGAGACTACTTGGGGCCTTCCACATCGTGCCTCCCAAGGATTCGATGGGTCGCTGGGAGCAACCCTCAACGTGACCCCAGAATAGCCCCATTTTTTATGCAGCTTTCGGAATGTTCGTGTGGATGGTCCCGATTCGTTTGATGAGCCAATCGTATTGACAGATATCTCCAAAGAAGTAGTACGCACAGAAGATTCTTTTAAAATACGAATCATTTCATCTTCGTTGTTCGTTGTTCCATATTTGTTATCGCTATTGATACGGTGGCATTCAATGTAGCTCCTTTGTTTTTGTTCTATTCGCATTTTCTCGGTCGTGGTACCCTCTGGAGAGACCCTACCGGTATTCTGGCAAGAGATTTTGACAGTCGATTGTAATGAATCTGAACCATCTATACTATATTTGTTCTGATTTGAGACTTTCGAGAATGATGATCGCAAATCGTTCGATCTGGGCGAATTCGCAGATTGCGAGAGGGTGTCGCTTTTAGTTCCTATTGTTGCTTTGAAGTTCAATGATCGCGGCCGCTTTAAATTTCGCTGTTGGAGCTCTTCTTCTATCTCGAAATGATGCTGTTCTGAAATAGTCTGACTCGCAATTTCGAACGATGCTTTAGTGTGTATCGGTTGGTCTCGTTTTCGTTTCAAAGATTGCTGCTTTTTGTCTTCGTTTGTATGCATCTGTTCTGAAACTGCCCCACTGACTGGTGATCTTAGTTCTGTCTTCTGGTATTGTTGTTTCGTCTGAATTATCTTATCCAAACAATCTTGTTTTGAATAATTCGATATTTCCTTTCCAGCGAATGTTTTTGAATCTATCGGCAGGTCTCCTTCCTGCTGTCGAATTCCTTCTTCTTGTTTAGAACTGGCCCTCTCTGAGAAAACCTCAGTCCTTTTCACTGGTTCATACAATTTTTTTCGTCTCACTCGTTCGCCAAGTTGCCTAGTTTCTTTTGGAAGCACGATGTCGGTCGGGATTTCCAATGGTTTCTTGTCATTCCTGTTCCTTTTCATGTGAAAATCACGTGCAATAGCAAGTTTTATTTCTTTCCATCTTTGGCTATCGTCATTGAGCCAGCTGATGTTGGGCATCAGGGTTTCCAGGATGATTTCCTTCGGTTTGTGATGCCCTCCATCTTGTCGCCAGTTGATCCTCTGGACACTGTGCCTTCCAGTCTTCGGGTTGTAGGACCGAATCATATAATTTTTCCGTTCGCCGTTGGTCGTTATGTATTGAAATTTTTTCCCTATTAGATTTTTGCTTGTCAATGAAGTGGCACTCCAACGACATCGCTGTCGTACAGACGATGTTGCTGCTTCTTTCGTTCTTGCCATATTTTAGAAAGTGCTATGAAATGAACTTGCCCCTAAAGAGAGAGATGGTGTGGTTCATCGCTGACAGGCTCCTCTCTTAACTAACCACTATGAGGACTCGATTCTTATTATTCTTCCAGTTCGTACTACTAACCTACCGTCACGTTGAGTGTAAGAATTCTTAATAATTTTCAAATCAAATAACAAAAATAGAATGGGCTCTATATTTCTATGATCATAGCCTTTATGCGTTTTGAAGTCAGTTTAGGTTCGGTTGTACATTAATTCTTTGTATTTTATTGTACGTTAAATTGCATTTACTAAAGATACTTTATTTATTATCATTGACAAAACAGATTTCCAGAAGCATAAGAAAAAGTGTTCTTTTTCCGACTGTGGATTGAAAGAAAAAAGTACATAAAGCGATGATGTTGACAAAAATAATAGAAGTACAAATTACTGTGCAGGTATTAATACGAAATGCAACAAAAAATGCAACAGTATAGAATCATGTACAAGTCTACGTACGTACACTTCGCTATTATCCTACTCACCAGCACAGCATCGAAAACCTCAACTGATGCCCATCAGTTGAGAATAATTACTGACACAATTTTCGATAAGGCAAATTCCGTGAAATA